CAACTTGACCATGCTGTTAATGATTGATGTTAAGAAAGAGCTATTTTGTAGGAATATTCAATTAATTGCTACAAAATAAGTTAGATAAGTCTTTATTCCAACTTGACTATGCTGTTAATGATTGATGTTAAGAAAGAGCTATTTTGTAGGAATATTCAATTAATTGCTACAAAATAAGTTAGATAAGTCTTTATTGCAACTTGACTATGCTGTTAATGATTGATGTTATGAAAGAGCTATTTTGTAGGAATATTCAATTAATTGCTACAGAATAAGTTAGATAAGTCTTTATAGCAACTTGACTATGCTGTTAATGATTGATGTTAAGAAAGAGCTATTTTGTAGGAATATTCAATTAATTGCTACAAAATAAGTTAGATAAGTCTTTATTGCAACTTGACCATGCTGTTAATGATTGATGTTATGAAAGAGCTATTTTGTAGGAATATTCAATTAATTGCTACAAAATAAGTTAGATAAGTCTTTATTGCAACTTGACTATGAGCTGTTAATGATTGATGTTAAGAAAGAGCTATTTTCAAAAATATTGGTAGAAATATTCAATAAATTGCTACAAAATAAGTTAAAGTCTGGTTTCCATAAAATCACTACACTGTCGCTGCTGTGTTTTTATTGCAATTGTTTTACTGTGTAGCAGTCTCCGACGACGCAATCAGGAAGGCTCCCTGACCGACCAATCAGCATCACTGAAAGCTGTCGGTGTAGCAATTGTATGGATACCAAACTGTAGATAGTCTTTACTGGAACTTCACCATGCATTTTATGTGATATTAAAGGTAAAAAGAATAACATAATGTCACAAAACTATTTAATTTTTAATTTATTATTTGTCTTTGCTTGTTCTTGCAGAAGTGGCAGTACCAGTGGTATCACTTCAAACCTAATTAAAGTGTCTGTCTGTGAAGCAATTGACACACTAGGAGATGATGATTTTGTCAATGTTGCCTTGGTGAATTTTTAGCTTTTCACATACTTGAGATTCTTTATGTAATAATAATAATAATAATAATAATAATAATTTAATTTAAGTTACACTCACATAGTGCAAAAATGCTAAGCTTCAGTGTGTTTTACAGTCACACACAGAAACCCCTTTTACGTTTACACTGCAAGCAGAACTCCAGACACATACCAGGATTTTGCAAAACCCGGCTAGAAACTCCGGAGTTGTGGTTGGTGTAAACGTCAAAAAGTACCACCCAGGGTGCCAAACATCCTGGGATTGATGTGCTGGATGCATTCAGCGTTGGACAACCCTTGTGCATTCTAGAGTTGTCAGTGTAAACTGGAGTTGCCAGTGTGAACAGCACCAAATTCGATTCCGGATTTAGGCCTTACCTGGCGCCTACCGCAGATGTGGTCAGGTAGACCTAAACTTTGCTAGCAACGGGCCATTCCTAGACACATTTTAAATTAAACCACCTGCGCTCTGGTATAGACTTGACAACAAGATACATTGCTTCAATATTGACAATTAATTAAAGCTTCGTCATGACAAGGAACTCAAGGGAAGCGATGATCACCATTGCAACAAAAATTTAGGGCGGTATTTGAACCTGCGTTCGTTGTCAGTGTAAAATGGGAGCAACTCAGGATCAACCCGGACTTTTTCCTTTGATGTAAATGGAAATGAATCCAGAATTAACACCTTGGCAATGTAAAGGGGGTATAAAAGATTTAAGGAGTGGGAGGAGAGGAAGAGGGCAGTGAAAGAAAAAGATGTGTTATGAGTGAAGCCTTGAAGTTCTCTGGTGTGGAAGCTTGCTTGATGTATTCAGGAAGCAAAGGAAAATGAACTTTGACCATAAGATAGAGTAACTACCTTTGGGAATGTAACAACTGTGATGAGGAGTGTAATCATAAATATTCATATGTATCAATATTTGATATCATTTCTCTCTTTTTTCATCCCATATTAATTTGATCCTTTTTTTTTCTTGTTTTTTACACAGTTCAATGACAATACAACATTTCTTGACTCCAAACTGACAACTTTTGTACAGGCTAACCTCAGAAACAAGCAGGTAAGATTGAAAATGGGATGCTTGTCATCTGGTCATTTGTTCTGGAGTTTGGTTAAGAACAGCAGAGGTACCAGTAGGTTTCTGGGGTCCAGCATCGGGGTGTCTCCATCCTATTTTACAAATTTACAATTTGTTTGGAAGAAAGAAAAATGACTATGTCATTCTACAGATTATAGCCTCTTTAAATAAGCTTTAAAATCCTAGTGGTACAAATTCACCAAGGTACTTTACCCTTTCTCTTGGTCAAAATTAATTCAATGCAAACGAGCCTTTGGTATTATCGCATGGTTTCATTTTGTATTTTGGGAGTTAGTTAACATTTATATCGAAGAAAAATTGTGAATTAAACAAAAAAAAAAAGGAATATTTTTAAATATTAAGGCTCTACAAGTATTTTCCCAGTCGTTCCCACCTTGGTCATGGCATCCCCGGGGGTATTTTTTTGGTAACTACTGTCGCAAACCTATTGTGGTCAATGTTTAATTTCAGTGAAAATCTTGTATTTGTTTTGTAGCATTTAAAGAAAGAGATTAAAGAGTATATGGACCAAAAAAAAGCAACTGAGAAAATGGCTAATTATACACGAGCACTGGAATTTGCTTTCACAGAGCTTAAAAAGGTAAGAAAAGATAATAACATTGTCAAAAACTATTATATGGTTATAATCAGTGCTGTATATATCGTGTTTGTCAAAACCAACAATACGTTGGTATCTTAATTATTATTACCATTATTTTCTATATTATGCCATCATCATAATTTTTGTCATTACCATCATCTTCATGGATTGGATTGGATTTGATTTATTCAATATGTACCTGTACACCAAGGATAACCCAGGAATGTCTAAAGAAGACGTATTTCCAGTGGGGTCCTTCTGGTGGTGATTGGGCAGTACACCGGGAGACAATCCCCTACTCTTTTCCGAAGAGTGTACTGCGTTCTTTTACGTGCACATGGGCCATAATGCACACGGGACCAATGGCTTAAACGTCTCAACCGAAAGACGATGCGCTTTTGAAACCTCCAGCTGAAACACAAGTAGAGCAGCGATGGAAACTGAACCGGGGACCAAGAGATCTCCACGGTTCAGCGAGCACACAGTGGCTACCACCAGTTTAGCCGACTGAGCTTGCTGCTTTCTCAGCATATTCGGATCCTTCTGTGTTGATCTTTGTTATCATCATCATCATCATCATCATCATCATCATCATTATCTTCATTGTCAGAATAATTCATGCACATTGATTATTACCTACCTGATAGGTAAACTCATTAGTATATGAGAAAGCCTTTTCCCATTAAATATGAAAGTGTAATGGTAAGTATCTATGTGCCTTGGATAATGCTTTTTTTGGAATCCTTCTTTAAATGCTAATATGCAATCCTAAGTGTTACCATTGGCTAATGTCAGTTGAACTGTGGTAATTAACCTTTGCCCTTTCACCATACCATCTTTTTCATTACTTATTCAAGCCTTTTCCCATTAAATATAGAAAGTCCACAATGGCATTTCTTATTCTTCAAATTTAATGGTAAATACTGAATATCTCTGCACATGGAACTAACACTTTGATAATGCTTTTTGTAGGTTCATTCTGTAAACGCTAACAGGCATTCCCATTATAAAAGTGTTGCCATTGGCTAATGTCAGTTGAATAATATAACTTTGTCCTTTCGCCATTTTAAACGTAAACGTAAGAATGGGATATTGCCCTTTTGGTGTTCCAGATGTCTTTAAAAATGGCAGCTTGCCCTTATGGCATTCCATTTATATGTATGTGTAAGTATTAGCTTAGGATTGGCTTGATGGAACTGTACTTCCATTATTTGAGCTCCTGTGAATCATGAAGCAGCGATTTCTCACTGAGGCTTCAAAGTGCTGGTAAGTAGAGCGGTGATGCTGGTTGTGTAATGTTACTAAAACCTAAGTTAAGTGGAACTTAGACAATGGAGAAATTAGAGAACAATTAAAAAACGATGTTAAGGGGAAAAGAACACGAAAGATCCAATTTAGAGAAATTATTATTATTATTATTATTATTATTATTTATTGTTATTATTATTATTATTATAAGTGTAGTGTTTTGCCATTTCAATTGTTTAAAATTAATAAGATTCAGATTTTTTTCCTTTTGGTGTTACATACTCTATAATTATGGTAGAGCTTTTGCTCTTCTGACTTTCCATAACAGTAAGATTTTTATACAAGATAGCTCCCAAAATATTAATACTAAAATTAAAAGTTTCTATTCCAAACACAATTATTTATCTATGTTGATCATTAATTTTTTAAGTAACTTATATTTACAATTTTAATTCATTATTTATTTCTTTTTACTTTTTATGTATTTTCCACTGCTAAATATGTTTTTTTCTAATGTTAAATATGTTTCTTTTTCTTTATTAAATTTATCTTTACTTTGTCTTTTAATTTCTATTTTTTCCAAATATATGCTTTCATTTTTTTTATGGTGAAACTCAAGCACTTTGGAAATAATCCTTCACCACTGAAAGTGTAATCCAGTATAAAGACAGAATTATCACAAATAAAAGCAACTATTATTTTTATTAGTTCTTATTGTAATTGGAATTTTTTGAAATAAAAATATAGCTTACTTTACTTCTAAGCTTTCGTTGCTATCTCAGCATCGGTTGTGGCTTGGACTTCCAACCTTGAGGTCCGGGGTTCAAGGCTGTGCAAGTTGCTTGTATCCTTGGGCAAGAAACTTTATCTACGTTTGTCTCTCTACCCAGGAGTATAAATGAGTAGCTAGTAGGATGTTGTAGCATTGAATGTACTAGTTTCGTGTACTAAATAAGTAGTGCACGACAAGGTATATCCCCAGGGAGCAGAGAAGGTTGAACTTTGTGCTGGTTTGCCATTGTATCATATTCTGTGACCAGGGGTAATAATACTCAGCGCCTTTCATCATTCGTTGAAATTGGCGTTACATAAATATTTGGGTATTATTGTTGAGTATTATTACACAGATCCACCTGTCACATGTTCATTCAAGCATGAATTTGAGTTCGAATGATCATGTGACATTATTGTTAATTAATAAATAATTATTCATAAATTTATCAGCTAATGGATGCAGCAGAACAATCTGACTTAGGCATTGGAGCCCAATGCAACTCTGTCATTCTGATGTTTACTGATGGTGGACCGGATAAAGCAAAGGAAATTATCAACAAATACAACTCCGATAATAGAGTAAGTATGTATGTCAGGTTTCCTAAATAAAAATTTATATAAGTAAATATAGAGAATAACCTGTGGCTTGTTGCTTTAACCGGGCTGCATTGCACACAGGCGTGGGCCAAATCGTTCTACAACTTTTTTTTTCCCCCCCCCACCTTTCTAAGGGTCACATAATGTCCAATCTGCTACAAAGAGGTGCGCTTTCGTCTGTCCACAGGGGCTGAATGGACCAGTACACTGGGCTAACACCCTAAACTTCTCAAAGGATGCATTGGGTTCTTTCAAGTGCACACAAGCCAATTGTGTACACGGGACCTATGGTTTAGGAGTCCTTATCTGAGAACACCACCACCAGAACTATAGGCGAGTGTGCCGTTCGAACCAGCGCCAAAATAATGGCTGTAGGTTGCGACGCCCCTGCCATAACTGCTCGGACTTAAAAGTCGTGGGAAGTCACCTTGAAATCAGGAAATTGATGATTTTTTTTGTTGTTAACATAGTGTATTATCAATTGCCTTCCAGAAGTCAGTGCCAATGTGTTTTTTTAATACCCTACTATAGAGGATGACCCTTGCTTTCCAGCATATCTTAGAAGGTCGGCTGATATTCAGGGACCCTCTTAAATAATATCATGTGATACATTTATTAGCTAAGTCTCTTAATGGGGCTTAGGGAGTGGGGTTGGTTTTAGATGTGACGAAAAGTCCTACTGTCACAGGACTTGAACCCAGAACCGTGGGATTAGAAGCCAAGCATCTACTAAGCTATTTGTCTCCACTCCGGTATCCCCATGGCACAGCAAAATAAAATTAAAAGCTCTTTTTAAACAGATCTCCCTGAAGTCACTTCTTCCAACTTGGGACTCCTAAATATTGTCATGATGGCATCACATCATGACTATATATAGGCACATCATGACTATATATGGCATACAACAGTTTTTTGACAAAGGAAATTTGATAGGAGCTTTAGTCATGAGTACAACTAAATATGTGGCGGAGCCAAGCCAAAGGAGGGATAAGCCGCACACGCAGTTTTCCAATAAATGCACAAACGTAAAATTGGTCATTTTTATTCAATTTTTTTTAAATCTATAAAACATAAATATTAAACATTTAACTTTCATCCTACATTTACTTTTCTCTGATTTATAATCGATAAATGCCCAAAAAATGGTATTTAAAAGTGCTTGTCATAATATCTGATTTTCAAAGCCAGTTTTCTCAAAATACACTTACCAATTATCCTAAATTTGATTGCCCATAACTTCGCCATAAACTATCATATCAAAGTGATATTTTTTTGCATTTTGAAGGTAATAATGTCTAGTTTCATAATATGTACAAAACTCAATTTTAAAAATTTCGACTTAGCCTCCTTTGGCTTGGCTCTGCCACATATAGTCAAAAATAATACTGTATGTCTGTAACATGATTTTTTAACGAGAATTTCTTTAATGTCTATTTACATTTTCCGTCTAGACTCGGATATTTGTGTACAACGTTGGTCCCAACGCTATGGTGTCATCAGATGGTGTGAAGAGTATGGCTTGTATGACTAATGGTAAGGATGATAGTTTTTTTTTGTTGATATATGACATAATGTTTGGAGGGATAGATGGATTTATTCAGTGTAAACACATCAAGGATAACCCACGAAGACTTATTTCCAGTGGGGTCCGACTGGTGATGATTGGGCAGTATATTTGCCTAAGTCGAGTCCAAAATGCCATTGAAATATTGTTCAATTTAGATAAAATTTGACTTACAGACTGTTAAATAATGCAAAACACAACAATTTTGCATGTAAAAATTAGATTGACTTAGAAATTATTCGACTTAGAAATTATTCGACTTAGGCAAAGTATTATGCTAAAATAGAGAAAATCATTAGTATTGGTATTGATGTTATTGATTATAATAATTTATTGAGTAGATTATTATTGTTAATTTATTATCCTATTGAATCTTTAGTAATTGATTATGATATTGATTGTGTTTTGATGGTTAGGTTATTTCAGCAACATACCTTCAATTGGAGCTGTCCGGCTAACCACATTGGTAAGTTTTTTTGTTTCAATCCTGTCGCCTGTTGCCGGATTTTTTATACCGTGTTTTGCGAAACACGTAAAAATGAATTATTGTTTTCTTATTTAGCAAATAGTTGCGCCAAAATCGTTCAGACGGTGGCGAAAATAAAATTTTATTGGTGAATCTAAACAGTGGAGTAATGGGATGCTTAAATGCTTTAAATTTCTAAAAATAGGAAGAAATAGACTTATCTTATTTTTGGAGATTTCAAGGCAACAGCGGGTGCAATAAAAATAAATAAAAACTTTTATTTTTTTCTGAAATTTCCATTTTTTCATGGTGGCAGGTGCTCTAATTGTCCAAAAATAAAATTTTATTTTTTATTCAAAATCATCATTATTGGTGGGCGGTGGGTTCCCTAAAGGAGTTATAAAAAAAAAGTCTTTCCTTATCCTCAACATTCGGTGCTTTAAAGCTGAACACAAGATGAATTTTACATAATGGACTTGTCTGGAATGTCAATCAAAGTTAACTAACCAATCAGAACAGGGCTAGAAATATGCATGTGTCCTTCAAACACACATGCGAGACCTTAGCAACGATATCCAAGGGGTTGGGCTTAGCCAAAGGTCTATTATGCCTCATTTGTTTGGCCTCTTCTGTGGTTGTACGTATATTTAGTGAATACATACTTACTGTACATACACCAACTGCCATGGGTCCTTTAAAAATTTCATCCACAGACAGTAAACGCTAACAAAGTGTGACTTAACATGTCACTGGAATTCATAGACAATCAATCCGGAATTGTAGTAAATTCAATACACACAAAGGATAAAGTCTGAAAACGTTTATTTACAGTTGAGTCCTTCTGGTGCTGAATTTGGCTGTACACTTTTGAAAAGTATGTTGTTTTTTTTTAAAGTACACATGGGCTATTTGTGGACACAGGACTATTATTAAACAGTTTAAACATGTCATTCAAAAGGTGGTGCCTTATCGTAACTTGTATTTCAGCGCTCCAGCTGAAATATTAAGTGTTTACAGAGAGCAGAGTTGAATTGAACGCTATGGTTGTACGACTGCCATCCAATACAGAAAAAATATACTGTACATTGTAAATTTCAAACAAGAGTGAAAAACAAAGACTTGACCGTAGGCCATCTCCTTTATAATAATTGTATGCAGTCATCGTAACCAACTGGGCATCTGCATATTATAATAAAGTATAAAATACATCATTGTAGAATATATATATATATATATATATATATATATATTCCATTCTTCTGGATAAATCATTTGGCTTATTTATTGAGGCACGCCTCTATAGTTTAGTTTTGGCCTTCCTGTTTACTTGTTCAGACTGTTTATTC